TCCTGTAGCCTTCCTGTGATACCTGCTGACATCACTTATATACTTCCTGTAGCCTTCCTGTGATACCTGCTGACATCACTTATATACTTCCTGTAACCAGGAAGGATAGGATTTGTATGGAAGAAGAATTCTGAGGTGTATTCATTTTTCCTCAGGAAACTTTTAAAACTAAACTACGTTTTAGCTACATTAAAGGATTTTAAAAGCATAGTTGTAATACTTTGGTCATCTTGACACAAATATTTTCATTTTTCTGGTTCTTTTCCAGTCTCTGTTCATGTGTGAATTTGTTTTACATATTTGGAATCATGTCTGTTTTTCCATTTAACATAAAGACAGTTCCATGGTTACAAAGTCTTCATTATTATACTTTCAATTGCTACACAGTAGGTCATTCTTCTTCTTCTTCTTCTTCTTCTTCTTCTTCTTCTTCTTCTTCTTTCTTCTTTCTTCTTCTTTTTTTAAGTAGTCTCCATGCCCAGCACCCAGCATGGAGCCTAACGCAGGGCTTGAACTCGCAACCCTGAGATCAAGACCTGAGCTGAGATCAAGAGTCGGATGCTCAATGGACTGAGGCACCCAGGAGCCCCTATTTTCTTATAAAACCTTTTAAAGTATTTGCTATGTTCTTTTCTAACTAGTTCATATTAGCATGCCATAATTATTTGAAAGTTTTATGCAACTATTAATATTATTAGTTTTCTTCACACATGATTTTTGTTTTTACATAATCCCTCATGAATATACATGTATCTGTGTGTATGTATATATATATATATAATATATATATAGCCATTTCTTAAAAGTCAGTGAAAATTACTGCATAATTCATGATCAACAGCAGGAAAGCCCAAATTATATTGAGTATACTGAGTAGCTGTTAATTTACCCTTTCAGCTGTTTTTTTCTCTATGTCATGTCATATTGCTAGTCTGATTTAACCTTTGATTACTATTGTGGCATTTCATATTTATACATGAAAGTTAAAATAAATATTATATGTGCTGCCGAAGCGAGCACATTAAAATAAATACTATATAAAATAAAGAAATGAGACTTTGATAGTTCCAAAGATTTATATTGAAAACCATTCTCCTGAAATAATGAACTTATATGAACTTAAAGACTGGTATTGAATCTACATTAGTGTAGTAATAGTACAAATATTTAGGCACTTACTCTCAATGTCTTTCATCTGCAACAGTTACCAAGAAATCAAATAAAACACAGAATATACTAAAGTTTGGGAGGGTGGTATTCAAGCATATTATAATATATCTGACTTAGGGCTTGTAATAATGTGAAATATATTGAATAGTGTTTTACTTCAGAGCTAACATTCATAGCCTTAAACATATTAATCTCTCTCTGTGTATATGTATGCATATTTATTTAACCATAGGTGTATCTTATTTCTGAATCTTAGTTTCTCCTATGTTTATAAATTTTCAAAGTCTATTATTACTCTCATTGTCTGAGTACCTAAGGGTTATATTTCTAGTATTTAGACCCCAAACTCTTCATTACCATGGTGTTTTAGTTTTTTAAGGGCACTTAAATTTTTTTTCTTTTACATTAGGTAAATTGGATATTATATACACCCTCTTGTTTAGCTGACATATTTTATTTTCCGTCTGCTACCTATGGTATGTATAGTGAAAGCTGTTTCTATGCCTCTGTGTTATCCCTGACTGCTTCTGGGCATTTCCCTTCTGGTCACCTTTGCAAATCTGCAAATTTCAGGTCAGCTCCTGGTATCACTGAAGACCTTTCTTGGAGTCTTCAGCACTATTCCATGCGTAGGTGATAAAGAGGTTAAGTGGATTCAGCCAACATCTCTCATTTCTAATAACTCCTGAGGAGAAGAAAAGAGAGAGTAGTTAGAAGAGTAAAATGTCAGGTTTCTGCAAATACTTGCATTTAAAAATTGTCTTTTTTTTTTTTAATTGAGATGATCATATTGTATTTTTATTTCTCTTCTTTGATAATGTTTCTTTAGGAACTCCCCAGAGTCCTTCTTCTTCATCAGCTGTCTAAGCAAGAAGGTGCATGGACCATACTTCCATTGTTACCACAGTATGTTTAATTTGAAATGTGTAAATTTTGACATTTCTACCTGAACACTCCTATGCTCCCTACTTTTCTTAGTAAGAGTCAATAAGTAAAGTAAATTTGAACACTATTTTTTATGACTACTACATTACCCAAATTTCTTGATTCTTTTAATTATGAATGGCTTCTGTTTTTAAATATGTTGCTTTCTTAAACGCTAAAATGTCGATAGATTTGATGCTTATATTTGGAAATTATCTACCTTCTGGACTGGTGGTGTTATGGAGAGAATTAACTTTAAGAACTCTAGCTGTTTTATAAACCATTAGTATCTGGCTTTCCCATAAGCTAAAACTATACATTGAAAAAAAATGTAGGGGAAAAATCTAGATTTCTTGCCAGTTTATATGTCTTTCATTCATTTCTTTCTTGTTTTAAACCTTATTATAAACTCATTTTATAGAAGTGATTACTATAACCTATTTCTCTTTGTCAGCTTTTCTGTAACATATAGCAGAAATTCATCGTGGATTTTCTTCTGTGAAGAGGAGACAAGAATACAAATTCCAGAACTCTTAGAAATACTCAGAAGATATGACCCGTCAAAGGTGAATACAATTTTAATACCGGTATTTATCTACTAGAGGAAATGCTTAAAAGAAGATTTAATTTTGATTAAGAGGTTTTCTAAACTAATAAAAACACTTAATTTAAAATTAAAAAGAATGAAATAATAGTTGAATATCTAGAAGCAGTGCTAAAATAATTCTTTTTGAGGTTTTTATAGCTTTTGGAGGGATAGAACTTATAATGAACCATTTTTAAATGACAAAATCTATTTATATGTGTGAGCAGTTTCAGAGAGTTAAAAAGCTATAACCCAGAGTTAAGAAATAAGTTTAAATTGCTTATTTCTCTTTGTCAACAATGATCACACATTATTTTAGACGAGAAGTATTTCTTGGTTGCCAACTATGTCTCAAGCACTATGAGAGCAGGGGCTAGGACAGACAAACAAGATCTTGATGACGTGGTTGATACAGAGTGGCAGGAGAAAACAGACCAGTAAGGAAGCGATGAAAAGTGAGAGGTCTTATAGTAAGGGAAACACAGGGTGCTGTCAGAAGCACTTGGCAGGGCATCATCAAACCTAATCTCTGATGGTCAGAACAGGAGGTGACCTTTAATCTGAGTCCTGTAGGATGAGTAAGAGTTAAGAGGAGAGAAAGAGAGTATTTTGAGCAGAGGGAACAAAATCTGAGAAGGTCTGGAAGTAAGAAGGGGTACTTCTTGTGTTAGAAATCTAATGCCAAAATAAAAGTCCAATGTTACTTTCTGTATCCTTATCTTTCATATTTTCAGATTTTATTTTGGCAGATATAATATAGCAATTAGATCTTGTTTATTTCTAAGTCTCTAGCACTGAGCAGAGTGTTTAACACTTAATACGTGGTTAATGAGTATTTGTGAATGACTGATTAACTCTGTAATGTCCACTTTCCCGCTGGGCTATGTCGTGTCTCAGGAGGATGCCTTGGAGATATATGGAGAGTAATCAGGCTATTCTTTTCTCTTGGAGAAGCCCGGGTTATACCCCGACCACCATATGGAATCCTTTAAACTTAGAATAAGTAGAATTGGGCCCTTTCAGGCACCACTGGACACCTGCCCCACCCCTATTCTGGTCCCACTCCGGAACTAAATCATGTTTAATGAGAATGTGGGGAAGGAAAGGTGGCTTCTGGGTGCCTGCTTGGTTTATTGATGTGGACAAATAACGTTGGGCAACAATAATCATTCTCAAACACTGGAAAGTTTGTTAGCTTAACAAAGCCACTGGTTTCGATGTTCTTTAAAAACCGCAGAAGTCCATTATGATTTCTCTTTATGCTTTTGCTTTCTGGAAAGATACAGATAGAATTGAATGAGAAGGTTTTTAGGTTAAAAAGAAAAATCCTTCAAAGGAGAGAAGAATTATAAATGTGTCTTATCCTGTCTTTTCAGATGATGCTAACCAGCATCTATGTATTTTGGCCATGTTTTGTGTAAAACATTTGGTAGGCTGTTATGTTTCCTTTTGACTTGAGAAAAACTCCTAAATCCTTTTTAGAATGTAGGAGTTTTAATCTCCTTCTAGTGTTCATTTCACCTGGAGATTATTTTTCCATTATCCATAGCTCTAATTCTTGGCAGAAGATGGTGACTCACTGTGCTTTTTAATGAAAATTGGAATGATAAATTGAAAAGTTCAAAACAAGTTCATGAAAAGCAAGTACAGAACAGAGGTAAAATGAGATGTTTTCCCCCTCTTTTCTGAACTCAACCTTTAAAAAAAGTCTAGGATGCTTTATTTCTTTTGAAACTAGCATTAGGAAATAAAGATTACATAATTTTCAAGTTAGCTCAAACCAGTGTGCTTTTTTCCCCTACCATTTGAAATTTTAGAAAAAAAAGCAAAACTGGCTCTGCTAGTGATAGAAATAAACTATATTAAAATAATTATGTAGCATGTTAGAGCATCGGTTTTTTTTTTTGATTCTGAGATGTTTTTCCCCTTCAATATCTTTCTGTCATTTATGCAAATTTACACTGTTATACAATATTTTAAATGGAAAATTTAAATCTTTATTAAAGTAATCTTTGTTAAATTGCCTTTCTAGGTGATTTCTGTAAGTTTCCATATCTTGCTAGAGTCTTTTTTTCCTACTATATGCTTTTATTATGAGTGTGCATTTGCTGAAATGTTTTGGTATTTTTTTTTTAATAGAAGTGAAGCACGGGTTCTGGTAAAGAGTAATTCTAAGATACTAATAGAACATTGTCTGAATTGTTATTTTACAGTTTATCTTGATTATAATTGTCTTTACTGTAAAACTATTAAAATTGTTAAGAAGGATGGGGGAGTGCCTCTTTCCACAGATTCTGTGTAAATTCTCCCTTAGTTTATATAGTAACCCCTCCCCCCAGTATTGGAAAACAATCTTGTATACTTGGTCATAGTTGGACACTGCCATTAGGAGTTAAAACATAGAAACGTGTTCTGCATAAAATTATGTTTGCAGCAAGAAATTCTAAGAGTGAAGGATTAGTGAGAAAGGTACTGAAAATCTCCTGAATTACTTTATTTTCTTTAAACAAGCTATATTGACATGGTATGTTAAATGTGATGATTTTCGTATTGGGTAATGTTTAGCAGTTTGAGAAAGTCCTATGTCATTGATTTTTTTAAAAAGATCTTGAATTTCTATCTTAAGTCAAAGCCATTTACAATTATCCCTCTTGCCCAGTGATGATTTAAAATATCCATAAAATGTCAAGAAAATCGTGATGTAGTTGTATAAGCCAAGCACACAGTTATGTTAATGGGTTGCACATGTGTTGACCAAAACCAGGGGTCTGGGGGGTATTTGGGACACAACCACAAGCAGAAGAGATAATCTGGTGTCCCTCCCATTTTTGTTTTCTGATAAGGAGCAGGGAGTGAGGTGGGGTTGGTTGGATAACAGAGAAAATATGCAAAACGGTTAGCATTTAGGGTGCTTGATTTAAATTAGTTTCTCTAACAGGGTGGTTGCCATTTGAAGCTCTCCTGGGCTTGCTCCATTCATTTAACAAAAACTAGTGAGCACTTACTACATATTCGGTCTTCTGGTGGGGATATAGCAGTGAGCAAAATGGATGGTTTCCCTGCCAAGGAGGGGGGTATTCTTGTGGCAGGGGAGATAGGCAAGGAGCAAAAATGCAAACAATGTGTCCGATGGTAGTAAGAGCTACGGAGAACAAGAAAGCAGAATGAGAGTGATAAGGGACAGATTGGGGGTAGGCTTACTATTCTATATAGGGTATCGGGTCACTTTTGAGCAGAGTATGAAGGAACCAAGGGAATGAGCCGTATGCTCCCTGCTCCTGTACCAGACTCCCTACTGCATACCCCCAACTTGTCTAATCAGAACCTCAAATTCAACATATGCCAAACTGAATTCTTAATGCCTCTCCCATCTTCAGTCTTCCTCATCTCAGAAATGGCATCACGGTCTATCCATTGGCTCATATAAAAAAAATCCTAGGACTCGTGACTGATTCCTCCTTTTCCCTTATCTCTATGTTGGCATATCCCATTGAGACTACCTCCAAAATACATCTTCTTCCATACTCTCTCCCTATTTAATACTGTCACTCTGGTCCAGGCTACCATCATCTCTTGCCTTGACAATTATTAGAGTCTCCTTGCTGGTCTCTTGGTTTCTACTCTTGCCATCCAAATAATCTAGCCTCTTGGTAATTCAGATCATACCACTCACCTGTTCAAAAACTACCCCCACAGCTAAGATAGCTTCACTAGATTCAGCATTTTAGGTTGGCAGGGATTTTCTTCTATCACTGTAAAGATGTTGTTCCATTGTCTTTTACATTCTGTTGTTTCCATTGAAAATTCAACTGTATGTCTTGTTTTAGTTCCTTTAAAAGAAATGTGTACACACCCATCTCCCCTCAAGCCACTTCCAAGATTTTCTCAAACTTTGGTCTTTTCAACCAACATATGACTCTGTGTGGTTTCCTCAGTACTTTATTGGTATTTATAGAGCTTCTTGAATCTATGGTTTGATGACTTTTGTTAGTTTTAGAGGAATCTAAGCCTCTGTTTCTTCAAATGTTGATTCAGTTCCATTCTCTTTTTCCTCCTATTCTGGCCTTTCAATTTTGTGTGTTTTAGACCTTCTCACTGTTTCTCATATTGCTTTTATTCTCTTTTTCTGTATTTTCTTCCTTTGTTTTCTTTTTGTGCATCAAACTTGATGTTTTTTACTGACTTACTACCTTCCAGGTCACTAATCCATCCTTCTCTTGTGTCTAATATCCTTTTGGATTCCGAACTTCAGTTATTGCATTGCTCAGTTTTAGAATTTCCATCTGACTTTTGTTTATTATTCTAGCTCTTTGGTAAAATTCTTCACCTTTTCATCTATTTCCTTAAAGATATGAATAACGCTTTTTTTTTTTTATATATAACTGCAGCATTTGACTTAATCTGTGCATCTCTTTCTATTTCTCATTTTTCTCTTTGTTTTTGTTCTGGTGCTGTTTCTTGGCATGCCTGGTAATTTTTCACTAAATGCCAGATATTTTATGTGAAAAATCAAAGAGGCTGTGGATGATATCCCTACATACAGGAGCATTTAATATTCTTCTGGGTTGTAGACCTTGTTTGGGTCCGTCTATTTACAGACCCCTTTCTCCCTGCAGACCTTGCACCTGGGCCTTGGGCTTCCCAGCACCACTGCTGAAGCCTTTGGTCAGCAATTAGCCTCTCTACTGCTGCTTTCCACTTGGTTCTTGGTTCTTTTCTTGTTTTCTTTTTCTTTCCTTCTTTCTTTTCTTTTCTTTCTTTTTTTTTTCTTCAGTGTAGGAGTTGAAGGGAAATCATGCAGAATTTGGGGCTCATTTTTCTGGATCCTCTTAAATCTCTACCTTCTGGGCAGCCTCAAGCTCCAACCCCTCTCTCAGTCCAGGAAGGCTGCAGAGTCCCAGCTGCTGCTTTCTGTTGTGTGCCCTTCTCTGTTATGGGTAAAAGGCTTGAGGGGTACTAGGCGGTGACTACAGGGTTCCTATGGATGGGCTTCCCTTCTCTCTTGGATATTTGCCCTCATCTACTCTCTGTCTGTGTTTTTTGATGCCCTCAATTGTTTGGTGTAAGTATTTTCTTCAGCATTCATACTTGTTCTCAGCAGGAGAGCAGGTGTGAGCCAGGCTATTCTGTTGTGGCCGGAAGTGGAAGTCTTCCACTGCACTTGGGGTAAAGTCTGCGTTGCTTTCCACTGGGCTGTCTCCTGCCTGTCTCTTTCATACCCTCTCCCCATACCTGGCATATTCTAGCACACTGGACTTCCTTTTTCATCAGATGTATCAAGGCTTGTTCTCGCCTTGGGACTTTGTAGTAACTGCCTTGATGGCTCTTCCCCAGATTTGTGCATAGCTGGCCCCTTGGTATTATTTACTCTCAGTTCAGTTGTTAGCTCATGAGAGCTTTCTCTCTCTTTCCAGGGGAAGTCCCCAGGCGTTCTGTTTTATTTTCATCCTAGCACATTGCAGTCACCATCTGACCCTACTTTATTTACTTATTTTCTGTTTCCCCACTATTGTGTAAGCTGCGTTCCCACTTGTTGTGGAATAAATGTCAAATGTTAGTTGATAACAATAAATGTTAATCAAGTGAATGAATAAATTAATAAAATAGGCACTAATTCTGGAAAGAATTTTTCAGATTCTTCTTTGCAAACCTCTGTAGTGGATAAAGGAACACAGTTTTCTTTGCCTTATTGGTATTTTGATAAGGAATTTTCTGTAAAATACCACTTTTATGTGTTTATGGCATAATGATGACTAACATTTTGTTCATCCTGTTGATATACTAAATTACTCTCTTTGTAAAGATTATGCCATGTTCATTATCATAGAATGTTATGTTTTTGTTAAAATTCTTTAGAAAGTAATAATCTATGCTAATTCTCTATCACCCAGAATATTTAATTAACTAGAATTAATGATATGACTTTGTTTTTGGTCTTATATGATATGGCTTTTTAAGAAAGTGTCATTTTATTTATTTTTAGTTTTTATTTTTTTCGATGTACATTTGAAATACATTTTGCTTTATTTTATTTAAATTCAGTCAATTAACATATAGTGTATTATTAGTTTCAGAGGTAGTGTTCAGTGATTCATCAGTTGTATATAATACCCAGTGCTCATTACATCATGTGCCCTCCTTAATGCCCATCACTCAATTACCCCATCCCCCCACCCCCTTCCCCTCCAGTAACCCTCAGTTTGTTTCCTAGAGTTAAGAGTCTCTTATGGTTTGTCTCCCTCTCTGATTTTGTCTTATTTTATTCTTCTGTTCCTTCCCCTTTGATCCTCTTTTGTTTCTTAAATTCCACATATGAATGAGATCATATGATAATTGTCTTTCTCTGATTGACTTATTTCTCTTAGCATAAATACCCTCTAGTTCCATCCAGGTCGTTGCAAATGGTAAGATTTCATTCTTTTTTTTGATGGCTGAGTAATGTTCCATTATATATATGTGTATATATACATATATACACATATATATATATACACACACACACCACATCTTCTTTATAAGAAAATGACATTTTATATCTTTATTTAACAGGAATGGTTTTTAGGAAAAGCATTACATGATGAAGAATCGACCATAATTCACCATTATGCCTTTTCTGAAAATCCTACAGTTTTTAAATATCCAGACTTTGCTGCTGGCTGGGCCCTTAGTATTCCACTTGTAAACAAGTAAGAATTTATTAGACTTTGTGTGTGTGTGTGTGTGTGTGTGTGCACGCGCAGATCAACTTTTATTTCACCGAGTACTATAATTTATAGCTCTCAGGTGAGTTTTGCAGCGGGAGGCAGTGTGTGGTGGAGTGGGAAGGCCTGGAACAGGAGCCGGTACCTGAGGGTCTTGCTTCTGCTCTGTCATGTACTGGTCCCCTCAGACTGATTACTCATCTGTTTTTTATTTTCTCTTCCTCACCTGCAGAATAAGGTGAGCCCAAGGGAGGGTGTATAAGTGCTCTGAGAACTCTATATCCACAAGTGTTATTACTATTATTAATAGATCTAGTTAACTATAGGTATGACTTTGATCGTCAGAAAAAAGACGAATCTAACATGCCCAGGGGTGGGAGTTGATGACAAATTATGTACATGGGTATACATGTTTAAACAGGGACCGGGCAGGAGGGACAGTTACCAGAGGCTCTGTAGACATTCGTACCTAGCTATTTGAGCGTATAATTGCAGTAATGCTTTTCTCAATGTGAAAAGTAAAGATAATTAAGTCGTAATTGAGGAGAAATAGGATTGTTGACAGGCTCTTAATTCGAATGCCTCAGATTAATTATGATGTGTGTTTGTTCTTTAGGGAATAGAAAGTTGATAAAGCAGTTGTGGCCTTTCTATCGTCAAAGATAGAAGGGTGTCTGTTATTTCTTACATTAGGTGTGCTGTTTCTAGGGTTTTGAGTCTTGAAAAGCTTTTTAGTCCATTGTAGACATACCAGGTAGTAGTATCTTGTCATTTGTGGCTGGCCAGCACTTATTGACTACTCCTTTGACATTTGAAAGTTTTTACAGCGTGAGACCCTCCTTCCCAATGTAGAATCCAGAAAAGGACAACACCAGCACCTCCATGTTATATAGCCTTCCTTCCTACTAGACAGCAGCTACGTGAGGTAGGCTCCATTAGGTTGATATGCTGTGGAAAATATGTTTTGGGAACTGAGTTATATGGAGAAGGAGACAATGAGACAATGCATGGTGGTCCTTTTGGCTTGAGAGGTCATGATAGAGGAGGGGTCAGGTGGAGGCTAGCGGCTGAGACAGTAGCTTCTTGATGTCGCAGCTTCCTGATGGTGGCAGAGGCCACAGCTCCTCGGCTACCCATTTCTATAGTATCAATCTGGAGGTTGTTCTTGGAATCTCAGCCTAGAGTCTCTTTATTCAGACTTTCCAGTAATTCTGTGAGCCATCTGTATGCACTAATAAGTGTACTTTGTGCTTAAACTGGTCAGAGTGGATTCTCTATCTCCATCTAAAATGTGTGACCCATGGACCTGTCCTAAGAATACTGGGCAAGGATGCCCTGCCCCCAGCCTGTGCCAGGCATGCCTAAGAGGGCCCACACATTTTCCCTGCTCCGTTCTTGGACAGGTTGGGCAGGCGGGGAGGGGGAGCGAGAAGAGAGAGTTGTCATTCCTTTCTCAAACTGCACTGCCTGGCTCTGCTCTCTGCAGGAGTGAGGGGAAGATAATTCTGTTTCAGCAGGCCTGGGTCATCTTTATTTTCAAATGAATTAAGCTTGGGTTTGCTGTAGCTTGAAGACCAGGACCCCCCGGGACACTCTTTTCCCACTGTGTCCAGCAGCCTGATGTTTGGGCCCAGTCTGGCTACCTATGTTTAGCCTGGACTCTCCAGAGCCCTGAGCGGCACATCCCAGCCCCGGAGCTGTTCCTTGTGCCTTCCAGATTCTTCGCCCTGGTGGTGGCCTTCCTCCCCTCTGTCCTCACTCTCTGTACTTACCTTCATAGCCTGGAATTACGTGGCCTGACTCCTCTACACGAGTTCCGGTGGCTGTGGCTTCTCTCACTTGGGGGTTAGAAGCTCTTCCTAAGTCTGTTTGTCTTACGTTTCCTGGAGAGCCAAGTCCCTTGAGAGAGGGACAAGCACAGCTATAAATTGTCCTATGCAGTACTCTGAGCACAGATGCTACCTTCTCCCCCGCCAAGGTTAAAGAGAAACCCACGGACCTGCAAAGATCCTGTACAGCAAGCCTGGAATATAACCATCTCTCTGGAGCCAGTACAACGCCCTTCTCCAACCTTCCCTTCCGATCTGGGAGGCCACTCATCCAGGAGACAAATCCTGTAGTTTAGAGAGTTTCACTTCTTTCCATCCCCCATCTGGCAAGGACCTTGGGGGCCCCTTGATGCTGGATTCAATTCACCTTTTACTGAGTTCGGTGTAATAAGGAACTTAATTATTGCTTTCCTTTTATTTATTTTTTTTATTATGTTA